TTTTTCACTGGATTTCTCTGCAGATCCAAAGTGTCAAGACAGCCCTGTATCAACTGTCCAACCCACACAGACAGTTACTGTGTGTCCCTCGCCAACTCAAACTATTCAGGCTTCTTTCATACCAAAACAGCCCCAGTACTGTTCTGGTGAGTTAACGAGAGTTTTTTCCCTTAATATTTAAATCTGACTTATCTCGAACATACAAAAAAATTTATTGTTGAGGACGTGAAGGGTCACGCGACACACTAACTTGAACTGAGGTATTGCCTTTATTTCGGATCTCTCGTAAAGGAGCTACGTCACGTTTTGCACATCGTGAAAAGTTTAGCCTAAATTTTTAAAGGTCATCGTTTGTAATCCTTGTTAATCTTCTCCATCCTTGACAATCCTTGTTCCTTTATGGCTTATTATTATCTCTTTGGTGTTTTTCTATCTTAGTAACCTATTCTTTTTTAGTTCCCTTCAATTTAAAGGTAATTTTGTACGTGGCCAAAATAACTCAAAATACCGTGACTGAGCTCCTTTAATCAAGACAGGTATTTTTGTGCAAAAATAAAACAATTTGAAACCCAAAACTAGCAATAAGAGGTAGAAATTAACACTTACTGCGCCTCTCAATAAAATGCGCACTCTAAAATTCAAAGCTCAACCAACAAATGCGTTTTTCGCTACCGTCAATCAAATGTTCGGCGGCTCCTCCCAGCTTCCGACTACAACCGAGCACTGTTTCGTATCATGAGACTTCTTACTTAGTAACATGGTTCGCAAATACAGAACCGCGCGCTCCGGCTCGGCAGTAGCCAAAGCTGGGAGAAATAATTGAGTATTTTACGCTCAAAGTTCCAAAGGCAACGACTGACAGCTTGTGGTTTTGCTGGGCAACTGGATCCGCGCTCCCATCTGGCACGAAGTTAACCCTGTAGCTCAGGTTGTTCGAAAGGTGGATAGCGCTATCCAGCCTTCGAACAACAGGGGCCTGGGGCCCGTTTCTCGAAAGCCCCGGAAACTTTTCGGGCCCGTAAAGCCATTTTTAATTCATCTGAATCTAAAAACAGAGAGGTGTATGCGCCTGAAACTTCTTTTATGAAGAGAACCTCTGTTTATATTTAGAATATGTGAATAAAAGGTTTGAGATTTTGCTATGGCTTTCCGGGTGCGAAAACTTTTCGGGACTTTCGAGAAACGGGCCCCTGGTCATTATTGCAAACGCATTTCTCAATATTGATATGCCAACAATAATTGAAGGTATTGCATGGTATTACTAATGATTCAAAATTCTTTTATCAATCTGTCTCAAGCAACTCCAGACAATCAGCAAGTGAGCGAACTTCTTAATTACACTAGACTGATCCCAGAGATCTTCAACCACACCAGCCAGCTGACCACCCTGTGGGCTCAGGTCAAAAACATGTCTGAAAAACTAAACGCCGTTCAAGAAAAACTTGAGAATTGCAGCTTTGGAGGAGGGAATGGTCACGTGACTTTACAAACGACGACTACGATTGCGACTCCAACTCCGACTCCGACTGAGCCAGGTTAGTGTCGTCATGATACAGAAACACCAGGCCGAATAAGATGACGAGAAAGTTTTAATTTGGCAGAATGAAAATATGTTGGAATGTCAAAATAACAANTGTATTTTATTGATATTTATATAAGTTTACAAATAAGAGTGACAATAACAATTGAAATTACATTTGCCTTCCGGCATTCTTGATCAGGAGATGCTACTCATCAAAGCGTAACTGGGCCTGCAGGGGCGTAAAGGGTCTTGCTCGAGAACTCAACACAAGGAAACTGGCTATGCTCGAACACGGGCCTCTTGATGCGGAGTTCCAGCGTGCCAGCGTGGCTGAGTGGTTAGGGCGCTGGACTCGAAATTCGGAGGTTGTAGGTTCAAGCCCCGCTCTGACTACTAAGTTGGAGTTGTTTCTCGGTAGATCCTGGTTCAATTCCTCATTCATGCTTGTAAATAACCAACTGATCTGCCTCCCGCCAGTTGGGATTTTTAAGCGCATTATGTTTATTCGATATATTTCTTTCTTTTAGTTTAAGTGACATACCTGTGGCACACATTTGAACCCCTGCGGCTCATATGTTTTAAAAGCAACTTAATTGTATTTTTTAATTATTTTATCAGTTTATGCCAACTGCACCGATCTATATAACGCGGGATATAACATCAGCGGCGTTTATAACATCACCCCTGGAGACGGACTTGGTTCGTTCCCAGTCTACTGCGACCAAACCACAACCGGCGGAGGCTGGACAGTGCTTCAGAAGCGCTTCGATGGCTCCGTGAGGTTTAGCAATCGGACATGGGTGGAGTACCAAAATGGCTTCGGCACCGTATCAGGAGAATACTGGCTTGGTTTGGACAGGATTCATCGGCTTGCCAAGAATCCAGTCACGCTTCGGTTCGATCTCGGAGCCCCGGATGGGAGAACTCGATTTGCTGTTTATCAGGGATTTACAGTCGCAGGCGCTGATCAAAAGTACCAGATGACAAGTGGAACATACACAGGTGAAAGATCTGTTCCGGCATGATCTAGCATACTTTAGTTTCTTGCGTACTGTGCATGGCAACCATTGCCTCCAACATTGGTG